CAAACAGGAAATACAGAGAGAAAACTGGGTGTGGTGTGTGACTTTGAAATCTCAAAGGCTGCCCCAGTGGTATACTTCCTCCAGCAAGGCTACATCTAGTAAACCTACCAAAAATTCCCATCAATTAAGGACCAAATGTTCAACCGTCTAAGTCTATGGGGGACAGTCTCACTAAAACCACCACAATAGTCTAAAGTCAACGACAGGCAATCTGTCAACTAATTAGGTATGAGCAGTACACAGTAACTTTCCTTTAAAGAGCAGGACTTGGAAATGGGACAGAAGAGGAACTCTCCAGTGAGGAAACCTGGCAGACACTGTCTCTACCAGACAGTCAAGGTCAGCATCAACAGGGACAGTGATGTGAATAGTGTGGACCCTTGATAGGAGGGCATGTAAACAGTCCTGTACTCCTGTATTCTACCTCTTACAAAACATAACACTTTTTGATTTTTGAGAAAAAAAAACCTAAAACATACTAGAAGAATGTTTTGTAAAATAAATGACCAATATTTCCCCAAACTGTTAAGGTCATCTGAGTATAGTATAGACTTTAGTTAATAATGTATCAACGTAAGTTCATTAACTAAAACAAATATATCACTGTGTAAGATGGAGAGATGGGAGGTGGGGAGAATCTGGGAGGAGTTGGCGGTAGCGGAAAAGTATGATCAGAGTAAATTGTCTGAATTTTATTCAGAAATAAAATGCATTGTGAAAATTATCTGTACTGTTATCAAAATGCCACTGAAACATGATTATTTTTAAAAATGGGGGGTGGAGAGGTGACTCGGGGCTTAGGAGCACTTGCTGATCTTGTGGAGGACCAGGTTTTAGCTCTCAGTATGTACATAGGGTGGCTTCAGTTCCATAGGATCTGTCACCTTCTTGTGGCCTCTGTGAACATCTGCATACACACACACACACACACACACACACATTTTACAGACATGCACCCAGGCCAACATGAATCACATAAAGTGAAAATCAATTAAAATATTTTAAAAATAGCACAAAAAGCTTATGAATTTCTGCTCATGTAAATGTTGTGCTAAAGTATTTTATCAAGTGAAATATTAATGATTATAAAATAATTGATATGATTTTCATTTTATAGGTAAAGATTGAGATGTAAGTTAAGTGAATTTTATTTATTTTGAAGGCTTTGATGTATTCTATATTAAATTCCTAATAAAGCCAGTGGATGTCTGGGTACATGAATTATGTTGTTCTAGGTGCAGGCCCAAGTGGATAGAACAACCCAAAACTTCCACAGACTTGGTCACCAATTTCTATGCGAGACTCTAAAGCCCATATAATTTTACTTTTCCTAAATTTTCATTCAGCTACCTCTTTCGGAGTCTTCATTTTCCTACTTCTATTAGGTATATTTTAAAATGTGTTTTCTTTTATTGAAAATAGATTACTTTTATATACAATATATCCTGATTATAGTTTCCTTGTAGTTCCTCCCTTCTTTCCCTCCCCTCCAGATCCACTCCCTTTTTGTCTCTCCTTAAAGAACAGATTTCTAATATAATAAGATGCAGCAAAACAGTTTTATCTAAGTTGTGTAATGATAAATCTTTCCGCCAAGCTGCCCGAGTCCCACCGCCACATGGGTGCCCAAAATAACACACAGAGATTAATATTAGGTACAATGCTGCTGGCCAATGACTAGGATTTTTCAATTGCTACCTCTGTCTTAAGTATCAACCGTAACTTTTAAACTATATATTTTATAAACTTATCTTATTGAGGATGCCCGCGGCAAGAGTCCTGCTTCCCAGGCTAACATGGCAACTCTCCTTGTACTACATTTCCCAGAATTCTCCTCAACTCCTAGTCCCACCTGTCTTGCTTTCGTATTGGCCAACAGTGCTTTATTCATCAACCAATAAGACAAACATATACACAGAAGGACATCCCCCATCATCTCCTCTTTTCAGTCTAAATAAAAAGAAGGTTTCACAGAAACAGTTGGCCTGAACAATGGAGAGCACATTGACCCCAGATGCTGTCTGGGAGGCCAGTACAAGACTGATCCAGACCCCTGAACATGGATGTCAATAAGGAGGCCTCTGCACTCCAGGGAGCCTCTGGTAGTGGATTAGTATTTTTCCCTGGTATAAGAAGGGACTTTTAGAGCCCATCCCACATGTAGGGATACACTCTGGCCCTGGACACATGGGGAAGGGCCCAGGCCCAGCACAGGAAGATTTGTTGGACTTTGCAGAACCCCTGTTGTTTAATTCATTAACATTTAGCAAGATTTAAAGAAAATATTCTGTCATCTGTCCTGTCTTTGTGAGTCTACAGCCTTATATGTAGCTTATCTTTTATAATAACTAAAGAAAACGATAACTATCTGTCTTCAACTCCATCAAAGACCACAGAAGGATAATATATAAACTCCAGAATGGACAGAGACATCTTGCTACCTGGACAGTCACCCAAAGTTCCTCTGTAACATTGGGGCATCCATCTTTAGCCCATAGGCCACAGTGTGTCTGGCAAAGGCAAAATCTAGGTCATTGGGGAAGAAGTATTCTAATTTAAAACAGCTAGCTCCATAGGCCATATTTTTCATACTTATATAACATGTTAACAGGCTTTGTTCACATGAAGAATGTTTGTTGGGCATGTTTCCAAAGCTGGCGGTTATCAAGCAAACAGGCTGCAAAGGAATAAGTAGGAAATTCATGCTTGCCAGCACATAAATTTATTTCTAAAGCAGACTAAATATTAAGGTTTGAAATAAAGGCAGAAGAAATTCAAGAAGTTATGTTAGTGAACAGTTAACAGATACTTCCCTCCAAATCTTCACTCTTTCTTCCAGACAGGACGAATATGGTCAGGTGCACGAAATCCACTGGGCAGTAACACATAATACTATCTAGTATCTAAACCCTGTTAAGAGATGGAGTAACTCAATAAATTACAAGGAGGGTAGGATATTGAATAAAGTGCCTGAGATGATCGTTTGTTCACTATTTCCACTCCACTTTCTCTTTAGAACTGACCAGTTCTTTGACTATAACCTGTAAGTCTCACAGACAGCTCAAGTAATAGTAGGGGCAGTTTCTAGAATGTGATACTTGGACAACAGGAAACAATAGATTTATTTTTAGTACTTCAATCTGCCATTCAGTGTACATTCAGTGGCAACAAGGACAAGAACAGTACAGTTCACTTTTAAAGTAATTTTGTAATATAACAACAACCATACTTCCTTTTTTTTTAAGTAATGCACTCATACTATACTTACTCTTCACACTTGGGAGGCACTTTGTTGGTCATGTACAAATCTGCATTCATCAGCTCAATGATTAGTGTGTCAGTTGTTTTGCATTTGTCAGCTTTTTAATGTCCGTTTTATTATCAGAATAACAATATAAAACATACATAGTTGATGAAGTTGCATAATCAATAAAATGATGAAACCGCTATCAAAATACATGTCAGAATCAGGCATGGCCTTGTACTCTAGAATCCCAGCATTGGGAGGCCCAGGAAGGAGGACTACAAATCCAAGACCAGACTGAGCTACACATCAAGACATTAATTACCTCATGAAACCAAAATCAAATAAATATACATGTGTGATAGCTTCACTAAGATTGGCCCCCATAGGCTCATATATGAATGCTTGGTCCCCAGTTGGTGAAACTGTTTGGGAATGATCAGGAGGTGTGGCCCTGTTGGAGGAAGTGTGTCTCTGGCTTTGAGATTTCAAAAACCCCATGCCATCCCCAGTTAGCTCTCTGGCTCTTCCATGTGGCTGTTTCACAGTGTGAGCTCTCAGCTACTGCTCCAGAACAATACCTGCATGCCCGCATGCCTGCCTGTCGGTTGCCATGTTTCCCACTGTAATAGCCGTGGACTCACCTTCTGGAACTGTAAGCCTCCATGTTCCTTTATAAGTTGCCTTGGTTATGGTATCTCGTGACAGCAATAGAAAAGTAACTAAAGACAACATGTCAAAGCAAGTGAAAGAAAATAAAGAGTTAAAAAAAATCACAAGATGTCTGATTTTCTCATGCATATCTAATTCTGTTGCGTGGATTTTGTAAATTTTAAAATTATAAGAGTATCTAATTGCAGTCAGAGGCAGCAGAAGGCCTCATCTCACAAACCTGTGTCAGAGTCAGGGCCATAGTATATCTCTGTCTATGTGATGAGATCAGCAGCTGGAGAGCATTGTGAATTCATGATCTCTAGCATGCTGGCTTCTACAAGCACAGCTTGCTCTGTGACTCCGAGTTCCCTATATTGCTTTCTCTTGGTGCCGATTGAAAAGAACCAGTGGCTGTGATGTTGTTGTTGTTGTTGTTGTTGTTGTTGTTGTTGTTGTTGATTTTGCTGCTCAGGAGACAGAATGTTGGAGAACTGTGTCCTGCTAGTTTGTTGGGGACCTGTGACCCAGGGCATGTCTTAGGCCCCTTTCTATTTCAGTCCATCATAGCCATGGTACTTTACAACACACCTCATTTACGATTTAAAGTGCCCTGTAACATTGGTCAAAGAAGTTTGTGGTTTTGTTTCTTTTTATATTTGCTTAGTTGAGATATTTTGGAGAGAAAAGATGAGAAAACCATATTTATTCTCTTATTTAAAAATAAGACTTGCTTTATTTCAACCAAGGCTAGACACTAAAGAATATGCATTGCAGGTATGTTTGTTATAGGAAGACAATATAAAAAAAAAAACACAAGTTAACCTTCAGATGGTGAAACTATAGTTTTGCAAACATAGCAATAAGTACTAAATTTGGAAAAACTTAAGACAGTGTTATTTATGAAATGGTGACTAACATTAGTTCAGAAGATTTGAATGGCAGAATCTTGTTATATTCACTTGCTTAAAGACACTTCTTCAGAAATTAAGGTTATCTTAAATTGATACAGTACTTATTTTACTTTATATTATTAGGACTTTTATAATTATATAATTTAGCTGTAACCATTGATAAATTTATTGCTACTGTTTTTATTTCAAAGGTCTCTGAAGAAATTATAATGGACTACTATGAAAAATATAAGCCTAGAATGAATGAACTGGAGGCATTTAATATGGTAAGATATTTATATCCAGAATAATTCAATATTCATATATATGAATTATTCTGGATATGTTGCTACACTAGAATAGTATCCTAGTAAGTATTATTATGGGCCAATCAAACTGTTGTTGCTGCTGTGTGCATGAGAAAGAGAGAGAGAGAGACAGAGTGTGTGTAGGCACGCACGTGTATGTGTGTGTCTGTGTTTATAGGAAAACTATCTAGGATGATTTCCTATTTCAGAACTATATTAGGTGTTAGTAATGTCATAAAAAGAGCACATGGTAGATTTCTCTTAAAGCGCATCATAAATGCACAGAGCAATGCTTACAGTCCATTGAACACATGTTGCTCTCCAAAGCAGTTATTTCACGAGCTTTCATTTAATGAATTGCATTCTTAGGTCTCCTTTAAAAGCTTTCCATCCCATGATTGCTTCCTGGATTCCACCTCATGTCTGTTAGAGGGCATTCTTTTTCTGTTTCTAGTAAAGAAAAGCTTTTGATCTGTAGTATTCATTTTCTGAAGATGTACGGTATTGGGTATCTAACATATGTGAAGTTTTATAGACACAGTTTCTCAAACATAAATGTTATAGCAAATAAACTATTAAAGTGCCACTGGCTTTTGTTTTCTTCCAGTTGAAAGTTGTTCTGGCTCCTTGCATAGAAACACTGATTCTTCTTGATCGACTTTGTTACCTGAAGGAACAGGTATTATGTTATTTTTCAGAGCATAACAAATATCTTTATTAGGTGGAATAAAATAAGTAAAATCATATAGCCGGGATAAAGTTAGTTCACACAAACTAGTAAGATAATATCTCTCTCAGTTCCCTCACTACACAGTGCTCTTCACCAGTGGTCCTTCAGGTGACTAGAGCTGTTGATGTAGAGTGCATGTAGCATCTGTTTGTTTGTAGGTCAACCAGATGGCGTATACATAGTAGTATACTGTTTTAAAGGGATGAAGTCCAGTGGGGATACTGTGCACAAGGGACCACCCTTTATAACTGTCACAGTGAAGCTTTATGTCCCATATCCTTTGCAGTAAAAATGTTTGGAGCATTTGGAATCTAAAGGTCTTACTTGAATTTACTCAATGTTGATGTTCAAGTAAGCCTACAGATAATTAAGATTCGTTAATTCTGGTTTCTGTATGTGAATAAAGGCAACAAAGGATGTGAAGGGATAAATTTAAAAAAAGATAATACCTCTCATACTCTATTACTTTTAATATTTACTCTATTTGCTGCTTAACATATGTACAGCAGATGTCTTCAAAATTGCAGTAATAAACTTGATTTTTAAAATTGTGTGATAGTTAATATTCATAGACAGTGAATACAACTAATCATATATGGTTTTCAAGCCAAAATTAATTGTGGCCAGTCATAGACGATCCTGTGTACACATTTCACTTTGTAAGACTTGATTCTTTAATGTGTTTTGGATATGCATGTTCTGTGATGTGGAAATGTCTTTCTAGTCAGATAATATCTGACTAGAAGAGAATTTCTTCTCTCCCACAACCTTATCGTTTTGTATGTGTTATGTCTATTGAGCTGTAGTCAATAAATTGTTTGAACTGTATAATCACCTTCATAGAATCAACTTATTGCCCACTATTAATCCTTTATTTTAATAACTTTATTTGGACACCTAGTGCTTTTTCTTTCCAAAAGCCTTCTTTAAATAAATGGATTTTAATAAATGGATTTTAATTACAAATTAAGGCAATTTTTAAGTATTTCAATAATATACTTCCCTTAGTCACCATTTAATTCTAAATCCCTACAAAGCCTTGATTCTCAAATTGGGGGATGATACACTATCTATTTAAATCATTTCCTTCACAAAAATATTCCATTGACGTGGGCAAATAGTGAAATAAAATAACACGAAACAAAATGAAAAGGCCCAAATGAAATGATATAAGCAAATTATTATTTTAAACATTAAAATGTCTTATGAAAGTAGTTATATTTGTTAAAATTTAAGATACATAATATAGAAAAGAAAAGTAAAAGGAATAATAATCCCACTTTTCAGGCTTAACTATTAAATACTAGGTATATTTTATAATGATGTCACACACATGATTGTAGATTGTTCATGTGTGTGCATATTATTTTTACTTTAAAACTGTAATAAAATTTAAAGTGTGTAATTTTTATTTATGTATCATTTTTCCCTATCTGTGCAAGCTGAATAATGATTCATCATAAAATTCTTTTTTTAAAATACAGTATTTGTATTGGCTTTGTCCAGCTTGTCTACATTAAAACAAAGCATACTTGAGCAGTCAGTCTCTATAGGTGTATATGTTTTCAGCATAAGTTCTTGAAAATGAAATTGTAAATGTTAATTTTGATTAGAAAATATTATAGCCTTTGGTGTCTATTAACATTTTCTATTACAGTTTGTACTCCAATTCATCCATGTAGTCTGACCCATCTTTCTTTTATTTGCTGAAAGATGATTGTATATGTAAATTCTTTATCAATTTTCAGGAAGATGTAGCATGGTCTGCTCTTGTGAAGTTGTTTGACCCTGTGAAGTCTCCCAGATGCTACGCTGTTGTTGCTCTGAAGAAGCAGTGGTGATCGAAGCTGAAGCAGGTGGCTAATCAGCTTGTTTGGGGATATACCTCAAAGATTACTTTTCTAAACATTTGTATCCCATTATATAAACATTTTTAAATAATTGGTATATTTTAAGTAATAAAATAATGGCTAACAGTATAAGATCATAATCAGTTTTTCCATTCTCAAAGCATTCATTAATACAAATAAGAACTTATGAAAATATTATGGCCGACATTCCTGAGTGTGTCAGTAGCAAATTGTAATCTAATTTTAATTCCGGTTCAATATTTGGGACCCTTAACATTTTGACCTTTATTTGCTTAAAGGGAAATAAGTCCAAATGCAGGTATTATCAAATGCCAAGTATATGTATTTTTCAGAACATTTTGGAATAGTTTCTACATTGCCATAATGGGGACATGTACATTTAAAAGATTCAGGAGCAAGTCAGTTATAAAATATGCCTAATATAGAGCATTTTTTACACTGTTTTAACGTTAAGTACATTTGGCAATATTCTATTTCTTTAAGGAAATGTGCGTCTTATGAGTGAGTATTCATTTTAAGGATTCTTGAGGCTATTTATCCTACTAAATGTAGTGATGGGGTGATGCTCAGGGGAATTAAATTGTGCTCTGTAAAAAGCCACCTTGAGTGAAGCCAGACTGAATAGGAGACCCCTCCCTGCCCAGTGTAGAACAAGTGCCTTTCTTTAGCAAAACACCAAGTTTCTCCTGCACACTGAAGAGCAGGCCAACTGGGATAGATATAGTCTCCTGGATGCTCAGCAGGAGAAGACTCCCAGAGTCTCTGGAGAAGAAAAGTGACTGCTTTTGTAAATGTTTGAGCATTTCCCTAGATGGGAAGGAGTTTATTTCTTTGGGGTTTGCTGTGGAGTTTCCTTGGAATACATTGCTGGCTGGTTAGAGGTCACAGTCTGCCATAAGCCTAGCAGCTTTTTCTCTAAGCTAGGCAGTATGGAACTCCCTCCCTCCCCAGCAAAGCTTCCTGCTCTCTACCTGCCCTTATCGGGAGAATGTCCCTGACCTGGAGGACTGACCTTATCTGAAAGCTGTCTCTAAACAGGATGCCTGAGTCATCTTCAGCTTGGCCTTTGGCACAGATGCCTGCTAAGAAAATGTGTGCTAAGGAGCTCTGCTATCAGACCCTACTGCCCCATAATGAGCCTTGTGATAGAAGTTTGCCACTTAATGCAGATTAGGTTTATGCCCAGGCTTCCCCACTCCTATATACTCCTCATCCTCTGGAATAAAATTGAGCTGATTCATGGAAATCTGTCTGCCAGAGGGAGTTCTCTCCTGAAGGGCTCATGGGCTGCTAACAAAGCTCTCTGTGGCCCCTGCTCCTCCCCTCCCTGACCTGGTGGCTAGCAGTCCTAGAGCGAGGGCACCCCCTCAGAGTTTCCAGCTGATACAAATGATCAGGACTTTCCTACTTTACCTGTTATTTGTTAAGAACTCAAATGTTGGCAAGTGGCAGGGCAATTTTGAGGAGTCCCTGTACTAGTCACATACTTTAATGACTATCAGTATTTTACCAATCTTACTTCACCTTTATGAATATACACATATACATACCTCCACCAAAACTTCCTCTGCCAAAGAATTGTAAAGAAAATTCCATACAGCTGGTGATTTTTCACAATTAATCTGTTACGTATTTCTTTTTTCTTTTTTCTTTTTTTTGTTTTTTTTTTGTTTTTTTGTTTGTTTTGTTTTGTTTTGTTTTTCGAGACAGGGTTTCTCTGTGTAGCTTTGGAGCCTATCCTGGCACTCGCTCTGGAGACCAGGCTGGCCTGGAACTCATAGAGATCCGCCTGCCTCTGCCTCCCAAGTGCTGGGATTAAAAGCATGCGCCACCAATGCCCGGCCCTACAAACATTATTATAGAAAGATTCCTAGGTTTTAGAAATACGTAACAGAAGCCCAGTCCTAAACAAGACATTATACTACCCCTGAAGGATCAGTGAACATGCTAGAAAAGGGAGAAGAAGGAATATAAGGGCCAGAAATGGGAAGAAGGACTGAAAAATGCCATGGCCATCATGAAGTCATTTCAGCTCTTCTGCTGATACTGGACCCACACAAGTGGGGCTCTGCTAACAGTCAGCTATGGATGGAGAAGGGATTCACAAGGCCCTGCCACTTACTGCTCATCTGCTGTCAACTAGTAGATTCTCTGTGAAAGGCAGAGAAATAGAATCTAGTTTTGTACTTAACTCATGAGTCTACCAAGCTCTGATGGTTAGTTCTAAACTCGGGGTCACACAAATGGCCCTAACCTTTACGGAATATGAAATGAACAAAAGTGATGAGTATGAGAAAGAAATCAGTAAGGACCAGGGGGTTTTCAGGAGTAAGGGAAAATAAAAGAGGTTGGCGAAACCAGAATTCATTATAAACATGCATGAAATTGTCAAAGAATAAAATTTATTTAATAGAAAAGACTAAGCTTAACACTAATGATTGTGAAAAAGACTTGAAATCTTTGATATTTCCTAATCTTTAAGCGGTAGTAATCTAGTCATTGAAATGCATACAATAAGTACACAAGAGTTAAGATAACTCTTAGATAACGACCTTGAGAAGTCAAGTGGGAAACATGCTTTATAAGCATGTAATACTGTACCATGAACAGTATGTAACAATAACTCTTTCTGCCAGCCACCTGAGTTCTACCACCACGTTAGGGCCCTCTTATATTTATTACAGTGCTGCTGGCCAATGACTAGGGTTTCTTGAACAATTATATTATTTTCCTTCCACTGTGTGTGTGTGTGTGTGTGTGTATGTGTGTGTTTTTCTTGGATTTCTTTAAGGGATTTATTTATTTCCTCTTTAAGGACTTCTAGCATGTTCATAAAGGCTGTTCTAAGGTCTTTCTTGTGTTTCACTTATGTTGGAATATTCAGGGCCTGCTGTGGTAGAGTTGCTGAGCTCTAGTGGAGACATATTATTCTGTCTGTTACTGTGTTTTTACACTGATGTCTAGGCATCAACACTGGGAAAATTATAGTTCTAGATGTTGATACCTAGTTTTGTCTTTGTTGGATGGGTGCTTTGTTGTAGGCATAATTTTCAGTCTGGCCAGTCATCTCTTTCCCAACAGCTGGCTTCCAAACAACCACACAGAGACTTATTATTAATATAAATGCTCAGCCAATAGCTTAGGCTTGTTACTAACTAGCTCTTAATTAACCCATATTTTTTATCTATGTTCTACCACATGGCTCAGTAACTTTTCTCAGCATAGCATGTTCATCTTGCTTCTCTCCAGGTCTCCCAGTAACTCTGCCCTCCTTCATGCCAGAGAGTTCTCTCCCTGTCCTCAAGTCCTGCCTAACTTTTTTCTGCCTAGCTATCGGCCATTTGGCTCTTTATTGAACCAATGAGAGTAACACATCTTCACGGTATACAAAATGATTATTCCACAACATTTTGTTCATTGGTGTCTGTTTCTTCTCTGGGTTTTAGGAGAGTGTGGTGGCTGTGGGTTTTCTGGTAGGAAGTTTTCTGTGTACCTGATAGGTGTGACCTCTTGGGGTTCAAGGAAAAATGTGTTTCAGGGTATTGGGAGCTGACACTTAGGGATGGAAATAGGCTGGAGCCTGGAAATCATTCACACAAGGGAGGAAAGCAGAGTTTTCCACCAGGATCTGCTTATTTAGTCTTTTTGGAATGGGGTTATAGAAAGGGGAGAGAGGTTGCCCCAGAAGGTCTGCTATAGAGCTAGAGGTGAGATTGGGGGTTTGGATCTGGAGGAACAGAAGAGAGGGCAAGATCTACAGTCAGCCTGCCTGCTTCCCTGGTAGGAGTAGCCTTGGAGTTAGCAGGAAGTGCCTGCTGGAGTTGAGAGCTGCCATAAAGTGATGCATGGGGGAGAGGGGAGGTTGGAGGGGATGGCCTCTAGGGTCCACAGAAGATGCTGGGAAAGGATGAAGGAAGGCTGCACCTGGTGTTCTGTTGCAAAGCTAGGAATGGGATTGGGGGGGTTGGCTTTGGAGGAGAAGAGAGTAGTGAAGATCTTTGGTTAGCATATCTGTTTCCCTGGCTTGCTCAACTTGGTGTTGGGAATGGAGTCGTGGATGATAGGATAAGTAAGGGGAAGGAAGGTTTGAGAAGATCCACCTGATCTGTTGGGAATGGGCTCAGTGAGGAAACAGACTGCAGCAGAGCCGGGGATAAGACTGGGGGTTGGATCTAGAGGAGCAGAAGGAGAAGTATGAGTCTGCCTTCAGCCTACCTGCTTCCCTGGCAGGAGTGGCCTTAGGGTAAGCGAAGGCTGCCTGCTGGGGTTGAGGGCTGGGATAAAGCAATGCGTATATGGGGGGGGGGGGCTATGAGTCAAAGATCTGTGGGTTTCACAGGAGATGTGGGCAAGGAGGCAAGGAAGGGAAGGCTGCTGCAAATGTTCTGTTGTAGAGGGTGACACTGGGGCATTGGGTCTAAAGCAGGTGTTGTCAACCTTCCTAATGCTGTGACCCTTTCAAACAGTTCCTCATGTTTTGGTGACCCCACCCATAAAATTGTTTCATTGATAGTTCATAATTGTAATTTTGCCATCATTATAAATCTTAATGTAAATATCTGATATTCAGGATATATGGTGCGGAAACCTCGAAGGGGTCTTGACCCACCGATTGAGAACTGCTGGTCTAGAGGAGCAGAGGAGAGAGGTGAAAATCTGCCTAATTGCTTCCCTGACTAGAGTGCTCTGTGTGTTAGTAAGAGTGCCTGTTGGAGTTGGGGGCTGGATTAAAGATCTGTAGTTACCCTACCTGATTCCCTGACAGGAGTCAGTAGAAGAGGATTTAAATCATAGAGTATCAGTGTTCTATCATTGAACATGTTGAGCATGTTCTTATAAACAAAAGCAGACCTCTAAAGAGGCTTACACTTCAGCATTGCTGTTCATCACTGAAGGAACTCAGGACAGGAACTCAAATGGCAGAATCCCAAGGGCAGGAGCTGATACAGAGGCCATGGAGGAGAGCTACTTACTGGCTCATTCCCCTGGCTTGTTCAGCCTGCTTTCTTGTGGAACCCAGGACAGCAGCCCAGGGATGGCACCACCCACTATGGGCTGGGCCCTCCCCCATTGTTCACTAATTGAGAAAATGCCTTACAGCTGGCTCTCAC